CCACTCACTCAGTTCAGCTGGGGGTTATAAGTTGACCACCAGTTATCAATCCACTACAGACGTTCAACCAGCTGTGACCATTTTACTGCTTTCTCCATTAGGTATTTGTATACAACTGGTTGCCCAACTAAATAGAAGAGTATATAGCAGAATGAGGCACCATGTCCAGAACATCACTAAGCTGAGGACAGTTTTTATACATGAAAAACATAATGAAAGCTGCAGACAGGGAAATGGACACCAATACAAGTAGTGACATTCTTGCTAACCCAGCTTCTACTGGGGATTTTTCCTTCAGGTGGGCCCCACGTCCCCGCTGCCGAGTCCCACCGCCCCATTCCTCACAGGTTTCCTGTGGAGTACGCCTGTCGGCTGTCACTTGCTGTTCCACCTTTCACCAAGGTTGTCAAGAACCCTGCTGGCCTCGTTTCCAAGGGAAGCACGCGCAATCACTGTTCCAAGTCGAGGGCTGTGGCTCTCACACGGAAGTCCATAACTTGGTTTCAATTATGCGGAAGTACATTTCCAAGGACTTCAGACTCCTTCGGCCATGCTACTACCGGAAGTGCTTTGGAGTGATTACTTTGTGTTTTGGGGCTGACCATTAACCTCATTCGTTGTAAACTAGTCAGCTCACAAGCTGCTGTTGAATCTGTGAAGGTTGTAGTGTGGCAGAAATGTGTTTAGAGACCGGCATGGTTGTGCACTCCTGCAATCGAAGTGCTCGAGAGGCTGAGGCAGGAGGATTGCTAGAGTTCGAGGCCACCCTGGGCTACATAGTGAGACCCTGTCATGAAGGAAAGTAAGAGAGAAAGAAGGAGAGAGAGAGAGACAGAGAGAGAGAGAGAGAGAGAGAGAGAGAGAGAGAGAGAGAGAGAGAGAGAAAGGAAAAAAGAAAGAAAGAATAAAGAAGAAATAAGTTTAGAATCTAGGTATCCTTGTTCACACACAACCAAGTGTTTTCCCAACATCATCACCTTCCCAACCTTCCCACCTCACACTTAGCTTTTCCTTTTGCTGAACCAATTTGGGTTTTTTTTTTTTTTTTTTTTTTTTGTTTTTTTTTGTTTTGTTTTTGGCCATCCTGGGGATTAAATCCAAGGCCTTCAGACTGAGCTACATTCCTAGCCCCTTTCAAAATTTTTATTTTGACATGCCTCTCATCCCAGCACTCAGGAGGCTGAGGTAGCAGATTCACCATGAGTTCGAGGCCAGGCTAAACTACATAGGGAGGTCCTATCTCAACCTGCCCACTAGAAACATTTTTTTTTGAAATTTTCAAAATTCCGCAGGTTGACCTACATGTGATCCTCCTACCTTGGCATCCAAAGTGCTGAGATTACAAAACTAACTATTGTTGAATGATAATCGAAGTACTTTTTTTTTTTTGTCTTTTTGAGACAGAGTCTCGCTATGCAGTTCAGGCTGGCCTTGAGCTCACTTTATACCTCAGGCTGGTCTTGAACTTGCGAAAATCCTCCTGCCTTAGCCTCCTGAATGCTGGGATTACAGGTGTGCACCATCACACTTGGCTGAGAATTGAAATTACTAATTACAAAATTGTTAAAATCTAAAAAGAGATTTATGTTCATGTTTAGGTTGAGATATGTATTTCCTTTCTGTTTCTTTTTAAGGAAGTATTTAGTCTTTCTTCCCTGTATACTGAGAATTTAACCCAGGGAGTGGCTGAGCTATATACTAAGTGCTTCGTAATGTTTTACATTTTGGGACAGAATCTTTCTGTTAAGTTGCTCAGGCTGTTTTGAAACTTGTAACCCTCTTACCTTAGCCTCTCAAGTAGCTGGGATTATACCTATCTGTTACTTAATCTGTAGCTTTCACTGTTTCTTGACCAGTACTATTTGCTCAGTTGAATTAACTTATTTCTCAAAATCTCTGCAAATGAGCTCAAAATTGTTAAAAAATTGATACTTGTTCTTTCTAATTGTCAATGGTTTAGTTATTTCTAATAATATAATTGGCTAGGCTTAAAGTTTTTATAAGCTCTTATAATTTGTTGCCTGAGAAACTCATTTCTCTTTAACTTCTCTCTGTCCACTCTTCAGCTGCTATTCTTTGTCCATACTTCACATATCATTCAAGAATAAGTGAAGGAAGTCTTTAGGGGCCTTTGATTCCAGTCTTTACCAGTTTCAGCCTTCTTTAAGAGTGGTTATCGCAGAAAATTTGCATTTTCATTATATAGTATGTGATTATTTGT